GATTTAAAGTAAGTGTCAGATAATGTATTTGATAAGCTTTATGGTCAGTTTTAAATCATTTATGTGATAAGTCTGATATTTTGCTTGGGATTATTTCTATGATGAATTTAAGAGTTTTAGAATAGCCTCTCACTCAATTTTTTTTAGTTTGTTTGTTGTTTTTTGGATTTCGCGCAAAGCTACACGAGGGCTATCTGCGCTAATGTCCCTAATTTAGCACTGAAAGACTAGAGGGAAGGCAGCTAGTCATCACCACCCACTGCGAACTCTTGGGCTACTCTTTTACCAACAAATAGTGGGATTGATTGCACATTATAACGCCTCCACGGCGAGCATGTTTGGTGGGACAGAGATTCGAACCCGCGACCCTCAGATTGCGAGTTAAGCGCCCTAACCATTTTTTTTTCTTTGAGAACAGACAATGACTAATTCTAGATTGTTTTCTTGATTATTCTTAAAGTCAGTTTTAAAATATTGTATTTATTATATCAAAAGCCAGTTAACTAAAAAATCTAATTGGATGACTAGCCTGATCCACAAGACATGATAAAATGTAACGCAAAAATCTTCTAAAATTTTATTTTTACAAAGTCTGCAACGAAAATGAATGTATTGTTTCGTACGTGAACGCTAGCTGCTTTTGTTGTTCGAAGTAAAAAAATGAATTTCAACATTCTTTCATTCATCTGGGTTTATTGAAAAAGAAATGAAGACTGTTTGTTTATATGGCAATACTATGTGAAAACGCCTGACATTTTTCATTTTATCTTTCTATCCGATTATTATCACTTATATATTTTCCGTTCTAGTTCCATATTTTAAAATGTAATAGCATTAATCTCTACGAAAAAAAAAACAATAATGAAAGTACTGTACCTTCACTACGAGTTCTTTGAACCATCAGACTTCTAATTTGGTTTTCATCGTCAAAAGTCAAAATCTTCAAAGATTTGAAACGTTTTGTATTGTTTACCACGTATAATGTTACGTATTACAATTTCAAATAGCCTAAAACTGAGTTATATTGTAATTTAGATTTAGTAGTTAAACGAATGCCGATATATCTCCAATTTATGATATTTCCCAACAAGATTGATACATACAGTTTTCTTTTTTAATACAAATATATTTTGATATGCAAACAACAATACAATTTACAATAACAGTTATTACAAGTAGTTATTACAAACAATGATTTATATACTAAAGTTTTACAAACTTACAAGCAATATAAAGTCTTCTTTCTAGTCTGGAACTTCCTTGATATCTTATCGAGGGTTGACGATGAGCGAGTTAATTTCGAGTTGATGTAGGTACAATTCACTTAATAGGGAGCTAGCTAGCTCTGTGGTCTTCACTTATCACACGCCGATTTTTCCTACCAGGGACGTTAGGTAATGTTTTCGTAAAAGTACTAATGTCCGATGTGAATCAATTGAAGTTGAATGATTTGTATGGTTCGAAATTTATAAACGTTCCTGGTCAATATATCTGAAGTTCCGATTAATAAGCATTAATCACAGTTATAGCTAACGAAGTTTATAGCACATCAATAATAGATACTGTTTTTTGGCGCGTCGCGTTGGTTATATTCAAAGGCGTGTGGAGAGTTTCTCGAAATTTCAGTTTCACGTAACAATACTGACGCTAACACTAGCGTTGACGTACACACATATATTGTTGATTCTTACACCCGAGAATCTTCTGTGACTTTAGAGAACAGGCGAGAGTTTCGAATAAATATTTAACAGTACAAGTTATGTACATTTCTAAATAGAATTTAATTTAAACAAACATCGATACTCAAATAAATATATAATAATAAATCCGTCACAATAATAATAGTAATTGCCGAGTACATTTTACTAACATTTATCAAAACACATAAATATCCATATACACGTTTGCATCATTCTTTTTTTTTACAGAAGAAGTAAAAAGTAAATTTTATTAAACTAAATTTTTAACCGATCTCCTGGATAATTGCTGCTTCCACAACACATTCCACCACCATCCGTATCTACAGGCGTGGTTGCTATGACTATATCGACTCTGATCGTATTGGCTCGCGTGTTTTAATAATAAAAGTAAGACACGCAAGAAACAGCACACCATGGAAATAGTTTGTCAATAATATATACAAGAAGAATTTTACTGTAGATTTTTTGTTCCAAATCGCTTATTTGTTTCGGATATTCGCGCAAAGCTACGCAAAGACCATCTGTGTTAGCCGTCCATGATTTTAAATTTATGGACTAGAGGAAAAGCAGCTAGTCAACAGCACCCACAGCTAAATCTTGAGCTAATCTAATCGAATAGTGGGGTTTGACCATCACTTAAATAACGTACCACGGCCAAAAAGTAAAGTGAGCAATTTTTCGGCAATGGGATTCAAACCATGGACTCTTGGATTCACAGTAACCACTAGGTCACACACCAACCCGTTCCACATAGCAAAAACACATATGAACAAGTCGACAAGATAAGGTTACATTTCGCGGGTAGGGTAACGACCACAAGTTATCACTTTACTGAAACCTGGCTTAGTACATTCTAAATTTACAGGCAGTAGTCAACCAGCTATTCTTCGTAGTACTAATAGACCAACTCTTTTGCGTAGTAATGTTACAAGTAGTAATAAACTAGGTCTTTTGTGTAGTTTTGTTACAACTACTAATAAACCAGGTCTTCTGTGTAGTTTTGTTACAACTATTAATCAACCAGTTCTTCTGTATATTTGTTACAAGTACTAATCAACCAGTTCTTCTGTATATTTGTTACAAGTACTAATCAACCAGTTCTTCTGTATATTTGTTACAAGTACTAATAATACAGTTCTTCTGTGTAGTTTTGTTACAAGTACTAATAATCCAGTTCTTCTGTGTAGTTTTGTTACAAGTACGAATAATCCAGTTCTTCTGTGTAGTTTTGTCACAAGTACGAATAATCCAGTTCTTCTGTGTAGTTTTGTTACAAGTACGAATAATCCAGTTCTTCTGTGTAGTTTTGTTACAAGTACGAATAATCCAGTTCTTCTGTGTAGTTTTGTTACAAGTACTAATCAACCAGGTCTTCTGTGTAGTATTGTTACAAGTACTAATCAACCAGGTATTCTGTGTAGTATTGTTACAAGTACTAATCAACCAGGTCTTCTGTGTAGTATTGTTACAAGTACTAATCAACCAGGTCTTCTGTGTAGTATTGTTACAAGTACCAATCAACCAGTTCTTCTGTGTAGTATTGTTACAAGTACTAATCAACCAGGTCTTCTGTGTAGTATTGTTACAAGTACTAATCAACCAGGTCTTCTGTGTAGTATTGTTACAAGTACTAATCAACCAGGTCTTCTGTGTAGTATTGTTACAAGTACTAATCAACCAGGTATTCTGTGTAGTATTGTTACAAGTACTAATCAACCAGGTCTTCTGTGTAGTATTGTTACAAGTACTAATCAACCAGGTCTTCTGTGTAGTATTGTTACAAGTACTAATCAACCAGGTATTATGTGTAGTAATGTTAGAAGTACTAATCAACCAGGTATTATGTGTAGTAATGTTAGAAGTACTAATCAACCAGGTATTCTGTGTAGTAATGATGAGTAGTTCGATTTATTTTATTGACTCGATTCATTTGATTTAGTTCAAGTTATGACTCGGTTCGATAAATTCGTTCGTTTGATTCATTGAAACGAAATAAACACACCTGGACTGAAGCACTTGGATACAAAGGGTTATTTTAATGTAAAATGACTAGATATACAATCTAAAATTGGCTGTATCAGTAGCTGTGCCTCTTAAACATGAAAAACACATTTCAGTAAAACTCCTGAAGAAAACTTCAGAATATGAACTATTCAACATGGTTTAGCTAAAAGTTTGACAACCTTATAAAAATCTATCAGCTGTAGTTATTGAAAATTAACAAAAAAGTAAACCATCTAAACAACACAATGGTTGGGTATGTTTGTTGTAGTAACATAATAATAATACATTATTTGTTTATGATTTTTGAATATGATTATTATTATGATTATCATACTGGATTCAAGAGTTTCTGAACCATTTCGTGAGTTTATATTATTATTATTTGTCACATAGTTTGTTGATTGGTTGAATCAAGAGAATCGATTTATATAGAACTCTGACTTGATTTCCATGATTCTCCGTAACGAATCATTCACGAACTGCACATCTCTAACAAGTAGTAATCAAGAAAGTCTTCTGCGTAGTAATGTTACAACTACTAAACAACGAGGTCTCCTGCGTTGTAATACTACAAACAGTAATCAACCAGGTTTTCTGCATTACAAGTAATAAACCAGATATTCTGCGTAAACTGAACTCAGCCTAAGTTCGTGGTAATGTTACACGTATATAGGCTAACTCAAAAATCAGGCCTAAATGCATAGCAATACATACTTATAAAGAGACTGAAGTCAAGCCTACATGCATCATATAACGTTACAACTTGTGATATACGTAAGGCCTGAGTGCATGGTAATGTTACAGATAGTGACAAAGACTGAACGCGTGGTGATGTTAACATTAGTGATATAACAGGACAGAACGCATGGTAATGTTATAATCAGTAATATATTAGGTCTAAATGCGTATTACAATGATATACTTAGTGTCGATACATATTAATGTTACACTTAGTCATATACTAGGCCTGAATGCGTGGTAATGTTACTATTAGTGATATATCAGGCTTAATCGCGTAGTAATATTACAAACAGTGATAAATCAGGCCTGAACGTGTGGTAATGTTCACAGGTATAGGCTAAACTTTGGATTATCTATATACTATTATGGGCAACTGTGGAAATATTATTTTAAAGACTGAATTAAAACACACGGTAAGTGCTTTGACAATAACTTGAAATAAACTGAAATTACATTAGCGAATGGCAGGATTACAGACATGCGCTGTATTTTCAGTACGATTGCTTTTTGAGTTCAGCATTTAACAGTTACTCTTCAAAACATGATTAATCTTACCTGTTTTATAAAGATGCTATTTGAACTGTCAGATACACTACCATCAGAACGTCTAGGATGCCGGTGTCGTTTAGATGCAGAAACTGACTGAAATAAGAAACATATACTTGTATAATTCACAGAACAAGTGGCAAAAAATATATATAAAATGGCTATATACACGAATCGCTTTGTAACCTTTACTTTCCAGAGCTGAGGATAGAAATGAACAATACCTGCGTTATTCACAAATACGCTATACATATTAACCCATGCCGGCCGGTGTGGTAAGTATCCAATAACAAGAAAAACGTTCAGTCTGTCTGTGGACGCATCTCCTCCTAAACGAGCTGACCGATCTAGACCAAACTTGGTATGCTAACTTAGTAGTCCAAAAGCAAACCAAATTCATATTAAAATTTCTCATATATTGAATAATAAAAATATTTTATAGAATAACCCGTATATCGTTACTGCAGTAACTATTGTTAATAGTCGAGTTTCAGTAAAACTCCCGCCACAGCAGAATTCTATAATTCAAGGATTGTAAGTAAAGTTTTCAGAATTTTGGCCTGTTTCCTATAATAACCAAAATATATAGTAACAGAAAATCAGCAACAATGTGAAGAATAAATATATTCCTACTGTTTAAGTTTCCCGCTCTTTTCTGATTCACACCATTTAACTTTCTGTTTATACTAGGGTTATAATAAGCGCTTAAGCTTGAATTATAGAGGTATTTCACAATTACAATGTTTTTAAGATATTTTTTACTTCTTGATATGGAATACAAAAGCAAAATTCAATATTATTATTATCAAATTTAACGCGTAAAATGCACCAAATTCAGACAGTAGAAATCTTGATCACATCTCTACTGTGAAATGGGCTGGTTTGAACAAGAAGTGACGAAACTGCTTTGCCATTTCTGCCAAATTTCCCGGCTCGACTTCTACACCTCTTCACTTCCGATCCACTTCCCTTGTCTTAAAACAATTTTCTTGGAGAATGAAACCTACTGAAAATCCTCAAGAGATTTTGCTCATTTTTGCCAATTTATTCGTGTTCTTTCAAGCTTTCAAGAAATAAAAAAGACAGAGGAATATAGTCTCCTTAAAATAACCCGCAAAACTTTCAAGGCAAGACATTTAAAGTGCATTACAGGAGCTTCTAAAAGAAAGTCCATTATGGAGTAAGAATTAACTTTTACTTGTAGACTTTCACCAGATCTGTTGAGCTGTTATCAAGGGCAGGGATGGGTATGCAATTTTCCTATCAAAAAATTAGTCAAGTGCACATCTACTTAATTTATTCATATATTCAGTTTGCACTTGCACTATTATGTGCTGCACAAAATGTACTTTTTGGGGCACCATTCACACATATTATGTTATTGATTATAGAGACATAGTTTAAACAAAAAAGTAATATAATAGGTGATATTACGTTTAATAGAGTTGATATTGTAATGTTTACGATATGAGTTTTGTCATACAAGGAGTGACTATGTTGTTAGCAAACACAAATTCGTCACATGAGAAAGTATTTTCAGCAATGGTACGAAGGAAGCGTTAAGTGTTACCGCGGGAGGTAAATCACAATCAGGGGTGCCAAATATTAGGAACATGTTTGTGATACGTTTGAAAATTTTAATTTTTGGGTGCGGTAAAGAACTGACAGTGCTCCCCCAGAAAATATTTCAGTTGGAAGCGTTAAGTGTTACCGCGGGAGGTAAATCACAATCAGGGTGCCAAATATTAGGAACATGTTTGTGATACGTTTGAAAATTTTAATTTTTGGGTGCGGTAAAGAACTGACAGTGCTCCCCCAGAACATATTTCAGTTGGAATTTCATCAACTGGTACGAAGGAAGCGTTAAGTGTTACCGTGGGAGGTAAATCATAGTCAGGGCTGCTAAATATTAGGAACATGTTTGTGACACGTTTGAAAAATGACATTTTTGGGTGCAAGTACTGCCCCAGAAAATATTTTAATTCAATGAGGCAAAATGGTGCAATCTGATGCTTTTCCTGGATCAAAGTGATGCTTAATTTGAAAGCCCTCAGCGGTATGTCTGCGGACTTACAACGCTAAAAACCGGGTTTTGATACTTGTGGTGAGCACAGCACAGATACTCCATTGTGTAGCTTTGTGTTTAACCTCAAACAAACGAACTTGATTTGACCTTGAACCAACTCATCAACTAATCACAATACGTTAGAGAAAGTTTGTTTGTTTGAAGTTAAGCATGGACTATCTGTGCTTAGCCCACCACGGGTATCGAAACCCGGTTTCTAGCGTTATAAGTCCGGAGACATACCGCTGTGCCACGGGTGGCCGTTAGAGAAAGAGAGGCAGATATGTCTTGCTAGAATAGGTCTACTCATCAACATGACATTAAGTTAAAAATCTACCAGAAAAATATACGAATACCTCTTCCGTGAGAGAGAAAGACATGAAATAGCCATTAGAAACCCCATAATAGTAGACGCAAATTAGTTATCTTTGTAATAGTAGCAAAAGAATGTCTTGACATTTTCGAAACGATACAGACAAATAGTGTGTGTAATAAAGGTAACAGTCTTATACCCGTACCAGAAAATATACTAAATTAATACCCTTCCCCTGGTTGCAGAAGTTTAGATTTTATAGGAGATAACACA